TAATTCCTCTATAAGATTTATGTCAAATTTCTGTAAAAAGCTTTCACTTTTCTTATTGTCCCATAATTTAATAGATGGTTCAGTATTATTAACATGTTCAACAATTTCAATTTGGTTTGTATTCAATGTTAAAACAATAGGATTATGTGCATCTGATAAAATGGGACAACAATCTTTAACAGTAAGATCGAGTACATTTTTAAACAGATTTGAATTACATATAAAATAATCGACGGTACTGGTACCTTTACAAGTAGTACTTCCGGTGTAATCACCAGAAGTTCAATCATTTAATATATACATATTATTTAATTGTAAAAAGTCAATAAATCTATTACCGTAACTGTTATTATGTTTATCGGTGTTATAACGTAATAGCTTTACATTTTGTGCATTTTGAAATTTACTCATTTCAGTATTAAATTCATCGCAAAGAATGTTTAAGTTTTGGTTTTCCAAAAAACGTCTTATGACTTATAAAATGTCCAGATGATGATTGTTGTTATAAGTTCTATGTTGATATGTTACATTATTTTGTATTGAAACCTGATTTGTTATTTTGTAATTTAAGAAACAAAGATGTTAAAGTTTTAACACGAAACCATTTTTTTAAGAAATATTGTAAAGATAGAAAAAATAAACAGTTAGATTTTGGATTTCCACGTGATAACATTGTGGCTTTCCACTAGAAAGAATTGTTACTGTTTTTGATATCTATTTGTTAACTTCAGGATAACCTGTGCATATTTTATACATTATTTGTGGTATTCCACTGAGAAAGAAACAATAAATGATTAAACGGAACATTGTGTTGTGATTCTATCCACCTTCAATAGAACCATAAAATTAGCGCATGATACTTTACTAACGCAGTAAGGGACTATTTTTGCATATTTTGCCACCTTTTTTTTGGTAATTTTAATTGGTTTGAAGCGCTGTTTGCAATTTGTAAATTATTTTCTTTGTTCACTTTGCAATATTTTTCTTTTTTAATTCATTTTAAAATTTTTATGAAAATGAGCATGAATCTGAGGCGTGCTGCTTTAAAGTCGCTGGAAACCGCAATTTTTAAAATGTTTCAGAATGCCTTTGATTGAGCCTTCCTGTAGACGGCAATTGTTGGTGCAATTTCCAGCCCCTAACACACAGACATAACATGTGTATCCTTTCATGGTAATTGACATATAAGGTAGAAAAACAAAGGCTCCAGAAAAAAAGAACACGCAACATCAAATATTGCCTATCAAAACTGATATGCAAGATCAATATGCATTTTTATTTGCATTAATGTTTACGTCTTATGGTCAGTTTTATATTACATTTAGAATTTCCAAAGATTAAAGGCATGTTTTCTATTAAATTTCGAATAAGGCGTCCTTTACATAATCATGATGGTCAACCTAAATCCGGCTTTTTCTGTCTCTGATCTCAGGAAACATCTTAATCAAGCTGCAATCTTTGAAGATAGTCTGCAATAAATTCATCTTTCTTTTATAATTTTTATGCAAACTGTATCGTGTTATTCGCACACGTTTAGTATGGGCGTCACGAAAATGAAAAGGTGAGAACGGTACGGATATCATCATAGAGAAAGGCAGTCACCTTCCGATATCATCATTTGAAAAGCATTTGTATTATATGGAAAAGACAATTCCCTAACTATATCATTATAGAAAAATGAATTACTGTTCCGTATCATCTTGGAAAAGGCAAATAAAAAAACTGTCATCTTACGAAATTATCATAAAAAGACTATGATCTTACAATACCATCACTGAGAAAGGCGTTAATCTCAATATTTGCGATCTGTGTGACGGATATCAACTCGTGATTAAAAGGAATTGTAATTTTGCCAAATTAAAAAAAAATAAAATCAATGTGAAAAATTTCAAAATAATTGTCGGAATAAGATGACTCTGTTGTAAAACTTATTGTGAACTATCTGAACTTTGTACTGAATGAGACTGAAGAAGTCACTATAATTATGTCCATAAGACACGGATCGGCCCGTTTCACTGTTTTGTCCGGCTACTGACGCACAGCGGGACAGCATGACAAAGGGAAATACAAAGACAACTCAACATGACCCCTCTACTCCTACGGGTTGAGGCATAAAAACGACATCCAGTTTTTCCAATGTTCACATTTTGATTTTAGATATTAGAAAATTTAAATCTCAATTTTATTTCAATTACCGGTATGTACATTTTTTATTTGGTTTACGGCGCATCAACATAATTTAGTTCATATGGCGTCGAAACAGGAAAGATGACTTTGGCTAACCACGGTTTTTAAGGAACTAAAAGCAACACAAGGGGTCAAAACGTTTTCTCCTGCTGGAGTTAGGAGATGCAGAGACTTCAGAATTCCTTATCATGCAGGGATAAACGTAATGATAAAAAGTGGCTACAAGTCTGATCCAACAATCCTTAAAAACAATTACTCAGCCATAGTTTTTACCAAGTTAAGAGCAATAACTAAGATTCTGAACAAATGCACAAGCAAACCCTGGTGTGAACAATTGTACATGTTGACAAACATTTATGTAAAGTTTTATGACACTAAGTCAAATAGTTTTTGGGCTACGCGCAACGCAAGTTGAAAATTGGAGATATTAAGTCAAGGGCAATATTTCTTCACATACTGACCAACATTTTTTGTAAAGTTTTTTGCTTCCAGGTGAAATATCTTTATCTTTTTACAGTACAAATATTCAAATTTATACAAAGTCATTTGCAATTTCTCTAACACAACTGAATAAATCGCACCCAAAAACCCAGGTCCACAGCTTCACGTGATATTTTAAATTTCTGTAAAGTTTCTTGATTCTAGCTCAAGCACTTTTAGAGGTAAATAATACACAATATTTTGGTTTTTATTTTTATTAAGGGCAAATACTATACAATACGTAAATAAATAATAATAAATAGGTACAAAGAAACCCCCAAGTGCATAGCTACACAAGTTGAAAAATGCATATTTTATTAAGTCAAGGACAATAACTCTAGAAACTTTGAATAGATACCTAATGTGCACAGCTGCACATGCTCACCAACATTTCTGTAAAGTTTCATGAGCTTAGGTTAAATACTTAACCTAAGCTACGTGTGACACAAATGAAAAATGCAAATTTTAACTAAATCTAGGTCAAGAACTCTAGCAAGTATAATTTCATCCACAATCAGCCCCCCTCCCCAGAAAATATAACTGCACATGCTGACCAACATTTTCGGTAACGTTTTATGTCTCCTGGCGAAATAGTTTTATAGCTACAGACGACAAATTGAAAATTAATAATAAGGCAGGGACAAAACTGAATTAAAGGCACATTATACATCAGAAACGAATAAATTTTGACTTCATTAGAAAGGGAAAACATGATTGAAATAACGTTTAGATATGGGTTTTAAGGGCATGTAAGACGCTTGATGCCAGGAGAAAGTAGCGCTAAATGTGAAATTAGTTGTCAAAATCGAAGCAAAATGTTAACAAAGTAGTATTTTGACTTCCATACAGAATACTAGAACACTATAACTGTACTAATTTTCCAAATAACAACATATTTAGAAGATTATAATAATTTAGTTTCAGAATCTATAAAATTATACAAAAAATAAAAAGGTTATGAGAAATAAAAATAAATGCATTTTTGGGCATCATGTGCCTTTATCTAACACGCAATATGCTTGGTGCTTCATATACTGATCAACAGTCATGTCATGTTTGTCGATTCCAGCTTAATCTCTTTTATGATTACACGTGACGCAACATTTAAGAACAGTTGGGTGATTAATCTACAAATTTTGAATACAAAATACAAGCAAACCATCAGATGCATAACTACACATGCTGACCAACATTTCTGTAAAGTTTCATGACTCTAGGTCTATATATGTTTTGGGCTACACACGACACAAGTTGAAGAATGCAAATTTATATTAAGAAATTTCTCTACAAATACTGAATATGTCTACAAGAAAACCATCTACAAATGCACAACTACAAATGCTGGTCGACTTTTCTGTAAAGTTTTATGACACGTCAAATATATGTTTTGGCTACGCGCGGTACATGTTAAAAATTCAAATCTTTACTTAGACAAGGGAAATCACACAACAAATACCGAATATATGTACAAGCAAACACCCAGGTGTACAACTACACATGCTGACCAAATTTTTGTAAAGTTTCATGACTAGGCCAAACAGTATTTGGGCTACGCGCGACACAAGTTTATTTTTCTCCTCAATTTTTAACTTTACTAAGGACAATAATTCTACAATAAAAAAACTTATCAACAAGCAAACAAGAACGTCCACAACTTCACATGCTGATCAAAATTTCTGTAACGTTTCATGACTCTTTGTCAAGTATTGTTTCAGCTACGCGCGACAAAAATTTAAAGTTGCAACACAATTTCTAAGCCAAGGGAAATAACTCTGACAAAACTAAATAAAAGCACACGCGAAACCCCAGCTGTACATCTTCACATGCTGATCAACAGTCTTGTTTAAATTATCGACTCTAGGTCAAGCACGTTTAAAGCTGCATGTGATACAAATTGGATCGCAAACAGGAATGCACGCACGGACAGTAAATGGCAAATCTAAATCCCTCTCCCCTAGAGTTCGGGCATTAAAATATATTAACAATGTTCATGTAATCATCATGTTATGTAAGTGGTAATCGACTCTTCCTAGCATAAAAATGATAAAAATGTTTTTTCTACGTTGGTCTTCCTACGGGGACTTACGAATTCATGTGCATTGAGTATGTAGGTTTATTACTGAAATTTTAAACACATATTAACCTGTTTGTGTATACCTTTGTGTTTTAACAGGACAGTTTTGTTAATTAAAATCAACCTTAATACACGTAGGTATATCCACATAACAAAAAGTACGACTGTTACGTAGACAAAGATATACAATTACTACATTTTTTTTTGCTTTTTGTATAAATATGAATAAATATATACCCCATGGAATTACACACACTCATTTTAGTTGCATGTTTGTATCATTTATGAAAGTAGGAAAAATAATAAACACAATAAAAAACAAACTTTCACTATTTTGATAAAAGTTAATTTCGTCTACATAAAGTATAGTTAAGAAATATACATTTTTAAAAAGTACTTAAAAAGAAAGAAACCAAACGAAGCAGCATGATATTCACGCAGCATCGCTGGTTTTAGCAAGTGGCTAATATATTTCCACTTCGCCTGTTCCTTCTATTTCTATTAACGTAGTAGTAGTCCTCATAATCATTACTAGAACTGTCGTAATCATCATTATCACCGCTCCCGGAGAACGAACCGTCGTCGTCGTCGCTTGCGTTATCATCATCGCCACTTCCGGAGAACGAACTATCGTCGTCATGTGTGTTATCATCATCGCCGCTGCCGGAGAATGAAACGTCATTTGAGTCGTCAACGTCTGAAGATTCGTAACGGTTTATTTTGCACATGAAACCTGCAGTAATTGAAACCTCAGCAACCCCGCCATAAATAGTGTTGTCTTCCATCTCATCACAGTCATCTGACGGCTTGTCATTGGAAAGTGACAATTTAATGTAAAATACTTTATTGCCAGAATCTGGTATTTCAACTCTATTGGCAGCTTGTGTATTTATTAAATGTTCGTAATTTTCATCCTGTACAGTAACGTCAATAATAATGTCGTTACTGGTGTTTGACTTAACGTCAATTATCAATGTTTCTGCCAACCTTGGTGTTTTCATCATAAAGTCAGGAGTAATTTTGTCACTAACTAATATCCCATTCAACGTTTCATTGTTTTGCAAAATTGTTGAAACAGACGTACAATAATCTATCCCTACATCTTTAAATGCTTTCCTGAATGGCAGGATGTCACACCCAAGGTCCACAGCGGCTTTAAGCAAACCACAAGAGGCATCATAGAACGACGAACTTTCATGCCAATACATTTTGTTTGCATGTAGAAATACTGAAAATGCATCACGTACAGGAACATTTTCTTCTGCAACCAAAACAAACCATATGCGCCTGTATATGCCACTGCTATAATGAACATCTGTATACGAATCCATTTGATCAACATGACCAATGGACGAGTTATCATTCTCTGGCCTCTCGAACTCACGCAAGTATGGACCATTCTTCATAACTGTGCCACCAGTCATAAGATCAGCTTCAAGTAAGTAATATTCCGCAGTCTCACCCATAATGTCAGAAAACGCCTCATTTATACCCCCGCTTTCTCCATAGTACTCAAGGTCAGAATTGAATTCAGTTACGCCGTGGCCTATTTCATGCGCGACAATGTCAAGTGTTGTCAGTGGATGAAAATTATTGTAACCGTCGCCAAATGAGCAGTATTCACCATCCCAGTAAGCGTTTTCCATATTATATCCGTCATGGACCTTAAGAATAATGTCACGATCCCCAAATGGTGTTGTATCAAACCATTCTTCAAACATTTTACCAACAACTGTCCCATGAAAGAAAGCATCAGCAGCTGGAGAATATGCGCCATTTACTTCATCATTATATCCTTCCGAACAGACAAAATGTGCAGTATCATAGCTGCTTTTATCCGTGTCTATAACCCGGACATACTTGTTTTCAAGGAAGCAAGTACCGTTAGTTATGGTTGGTGTCAGGCAGTATGGCATATTTCCATACGTTATTTTCCCGCTCTTTACATTTCCACCGGTAGCATTATACTTTCTTTCACAACAAGGATAATTATTAAGCCCTTGCCAATTTTTTAGAATATCTCCAATTTTTGCATCGATAATATAATGCGGACGCTTCACACCTTCTATCAAATATGACATGACATGGGCTAAGCGAGCTTCATTGTTCTCATCTAAATATATTTCAATAGAATTTTTGACGTTGGTGACCTCTTTCATATTATCTCCTTCATTATTAACAGCAATATTAAGAGCATCTTCTTTTGAAATCTTAGGGTCTGTATTTGGCAGGTCCCCCTCTATATCCTGTACAAACGTCCCGACTGCTTCTCCCGTTAACTGTCCATCTTTAGTTTTGTGAATAGTCACTGCAGTGTCGTGGACTTTAATCCCGTGATACGTTTCCTGGAGTCGCTCAACAGTCATACCATAGACATCGTTAGTCTCACGAACATTTTCAAGAGATTCTCCTATAAAGATAAACGGATAGTTAAATGGCATAGATATGTTGATTATGGGTATTTTGCTTAAATGAAAAGTAAAAGTCATTTAACAATATACTCGTTCATGCAATCGTAATTTACATTTTGAAATACCGCAAAGTTTGGAAAGCGCCAGTTTTTGCGCTTTTAAAATAATAATTTAATTGTTGGTGTGATTTCAAAATAAAATCTTTCAAAGAATATGAATACAATAAATGATATACACCAGTGGCTTTTATTTGCTCTTTTTGTTATTTTTAAAATTCCATTTTTATAACAATCGCAGCAACTAGATCATTGAACTATGATAATACAACTCTTCTTGCTTTAAATGTTAGTAATTTCACTCAACATTAATTTTTTTTTTCATGTACTATTTTATTGTATATAATACTTTGTTAAAATTTGTTAAAAATACAATTAGGTCTTATGATAAGTCCACTCACGACAAATATAAAGGCATAAGTAGAACAGTTTTGTTTATAAACTTTAATAATAAGATATATTTGGAATGATATAAAAAGAGATAAGAAGACATTAAGATTAAACAGAAACCGTTGTCATTAAATAAGCACATTTTAATGGTGGAGTCATTGGCTTACCTTCTGTAAGTTGCAGCAGCTCTGGAATATAGATCGGAACGTCATCCCGTAATTGTCGTTGATCTCGGCGTTTCTTCAATGTTTCACGTGCGCGCACGTGCGCATCAACACGCCTAGCTCCAAAGACAGTCTCAACGAACATACAAAGCAGTACTGCAAATTGAAAAATGCAACACTTATATGAAATTAAGAGATAAAATAAAGAGAAATTGAGTTTTGTCTTTCACCACAAGCAGGAAGAGCATATTTATGAAAACATCATCTTTGTTTATTTTTTTAAATTGCATTTGTAATTGAAAAGATGATAAAAATAAATAGACATATTTGCGTATGGTATGCAATTGCATGCAATTGCACGCAATAATTGATCTAACTGATTTGGAATGACAATAAATTCATGTTCACAAATGACAGCCTAAAACTATAATGTATAAGCTTATAAACAGTCGTTATATGCTTTACTAAAAATATTTCTTTATTTAAATAAATAGTTATATTAAAAATAATGATCTGTATTATGAATTATAAAAGTAAGTATGTGTAATAAGTAAATGTGGAAAAGTGCATACGATAATACTGTCAATTATAAAACACATGGTTTTGAACAGCCTAAATGATTAAGTTAAAAAACGTACAAAATTATAATTAATGTATTCTTTTTTTGAAAAATAGGGTGGAAATTTTATTAGTATAAATATAAGGAAAACATTGAATAAGAAATTACATTGTTACATATTGCTGTCAAATGTAAGATTGCACGATTAACATAAACAGTGCATTAGATAGACATGTTATCTATTTTCAAAACAAATTATATCAAAGTATTGATTAAAACGCTAATATGTTCAGCAAATTTCTATCAAAAGACATTTAAATATTTGAAGTTGAAGTCTGAAAGACATAAAATATTTTATATGTTTTCATTAGTAATATACATGTTTATAACAAATATAAAATTTAACGGTTTATATGCGTGGTAGGTAATATGGAAAAATTGATTTTAATAAACAAAATAATGCAGTTAACTACTTACTGGCGATAACATCTGCTCTAACAAACATCGTTACAAGCTGAAGCATTAATGAACAACAATGGTCAACCAGTTATTTATATACCAGAAACTGCCATCATTTCGAAATGAGCCGTGTCACGACAAAACCAACATAATGGGTTTGCGACCAGCATGGATCCAGACCAGTCTGCGCATCCGCGCAGTTTGATCAGGATCCATGCTGTTCGCTTTCCAATCCTATTACAAGTAGAGAAACTGATAGCGAACAGCATGGATCCTGATCAGAATGCACGGATGCAGAGATGGTCTGGATCAATGCTGGTCGCAAACGCACTATGTTGGTTTTGTCGTGACGCTGCTTCAATGTATAATTGAAGGCAATTCTTAGTAATGTTCTATTAGCATAATTAAACTTAATTGTTCAATTAATGCCAGGAAAATTCAGTGTGTTCATGTACTTGATCTGTAATTATATGGCATGTTTCTCACTAGTTATATACTGTGTAGTTCGTCAATTTGATCAAATATGTGGTAATTTTCATACTACTAATTATCAAAATTAACAATAAATATTTTGCAATAACCTTAAACGTACCTTTTGACATTTTTTGGCATCTACAGATCATGGCTGTATTGTGAAATATATACACTGTATATGTTTGATCTCTCATGGCATTGCGAAAGTTTAAATTTCAAATGCTTTTTTTCTACAAGTTAAGAAAATTAAGCATTCTTTTATTTATCGCATGGTTTGGGACTTTTCCTTTGTTCTTACTAACCCATTTTACTCAGTACACTTTCAATGAGCACTTGAAAACTTTATTGATATATAACAGTACAGTTTTTTCATTGATTCATATAGGAAAAAAACCCGACTGCTATATATCGGTTGACTTTTTTTCGCACCTTGTATATATCAATGTAGTTTTTTCACAGAGGCTCCAATGGGGCAGTGGTAACGAACAGTCCCAGTAGCAAAAAAAAATGGAATCAATAAAATAAAATAAAATAAATAAATAAATACAATGAAAATAATAAAATAAACAAAGATAATTAATGAAATGAAATTTACTCTCATTTAATCAAAAAGGTACATCCGCTGAATGAATTATTTTAACTGAAATATTGGTAACAGTTTACAATCCGCCTCTAACATTGGATGTCTTTTGTATATCTTTTTTTTTTGGCAGCGAAAACAACTTGAAAAAACTGCCTTATCATAAATAACTGTAATGTTGCTAACGATTTATTTATTTATTTTACAAACAGAACAGAAAAGAACAGAACAGACATTTTATTAGACTTACACATAAGTATATCATCTTAATGCATAAACATCAATGTTAAACATGTCACATATCTAGAACATATTACAAAAGTTTAATCAAATGCACTTTAACATATATTTACATATACTACATACATGTATAACAAAGACAGTAAGGTAATAAGTATACTACAGCGCATCAGGTCATATTATTTGTAAATGAATTTCGAATAACAAATGCCTCTTTCATATATTTGCACAAATTAACAATATCGTTTTTATTTGAAGAAGTAAGCAAAGCATGAAATTTAAAAACAGATGGATTGACAAAATAAAAACGTTTGATATATTTCTTTCTTATTTGAGAATAGCAATTACATATACAAATAAGGTGGAATTCATCTTCAATATCTCTTGTGTTACAACATAAGCAATATCTTTCGTTTCTTGGTAAATTAATAATAATAATAATAATAATAATAATAATAATAATAATAATAATAATAATAATAATAATATCTTTATTTCCTCCAAAAGAAGAGCACATTTTTACAATTATACAATTATAATGGAACAAAGTAAAATATTCAATTACAATGCAAATAATTACAGAAGATCTATGGTTACAGGATGGAGATCATAGATATTTAAATATATACACACATTAATATAATGTAGTTATCTATTTTTTTTACACACATGTAAATAATAATATGGTAAATAGTAAGAAGTCAAAATAAATATCATTATATAGTCTATCAATTGAGTAGTTTATCAATGAATATTATAAAAGAGATATAAGATTGAATTCTTGTTTCGTCTGTCACAATAAATGAAATAAAACCGCTGAACATTTCAAGTAATTGATTGTCTGCGCTATATGTACAGAACTCCAAATAGTTTTCCATTCCAAGTAACTCATACAGTTTTTGCCACAACTGGCATCTTTCAATCTCATTGTTTCCACAGTAAAATACGGCATGGATCGCGAAGTTCTTAACGACGAGCTTGCACTGAAAGCATGTTTTGTCGTATTGTCTCGCGAAAAATAGGCACAGTAATTTAAACGCCGAGCAACATTGTACTTTAAGCTTTGTGTATTTACGACAAAATATCCAGAGGCTACTAGGTTCATACTTTGAATGTATCAATATATAGTTTTTCATTGTGCTATCGTTAGTTATCCTTGTAAACCATTCACTTTCTACTTTAAAATGTATTGCTCGTTTAACTATTCTTTTCTGCTTCTGTGATTTCCTCTCCGCCCATTGACCATTTTCTACTACATGAACTATACTCATTAATCAAAGCACTGAAAGTACTGGAGTGTCGATTGTGTTGTGAAATATATAACCTTTCACAGCCTGAGTCTGTTTATTGATTACGCCATTTATTTTCGTTGCAGATAATGAACAGTTTGATATTTATTCAAATATTTTAGTTCTATTAGACCTATCTCTAAAAAGAAGAAAAACAGATCTAGATGACATAAATTATAGGTTTTTACAGCAAAAGTGGGCCTTAAGAAAGATATTGGCACACTTATTAAAATATTTGCCCAAAGTTTATGCGTTCAAGTACACCGGTATGGTCTTAATGAACACTTGCCCTGTATCATAACCTTTTTATTGCATTTGCAGCAATGCTGCCCTGTATTTTAATCTTATCAAAATCTGAGACTTGGGCAGCCCTTATACTCCATATGGGATCACATGGCCCCACCTGGGCGGCCCATGTACTCAATATGGGCCCCATATGGGCAGCCCTTGTACTAAATATGGGTTCATGGGCAGCCCAGATACTTCCATTATGGGTAGATTTTGAATTCCGGGATAGATCTATTTTCAAGTACTTCAATTATAAGTTTGCTGGACGTTAAGCTGCAACTGGCATAATTCTTGTACTTGCATTAAATATTCAAGTGATGTTTTAACTGGAACAGACAGATTATGGCACAAAGCCTTTATTATCCTGCAAGAAAACAACACACAATGTATATGCTTTAACAATGTTAACTTTATTTAGTAATCTCAATTATGGTAAGAGTGTATCATATATATACAGATTCTCAAAGACACAACTGCAAACCTACTCCCATGTCTTTTTAAATTTCTACATAATTCATAGGAAAGTATTATACATTTATTGTAATTCATTACAAATTTCTATCTACCAATTACTTTCATTTTCAAATGAAATAGTATCTATGTTTTATATGATATTTAAATTTTCAGATATCTTTGTATTGGACAAATGAAATAGATCTACATGAATAAATATAAAAAGTTGTTCATTACAACCATATATTACACTTTGGTATGATAGTGCTGAAAGAAAAAATATTATACAGCTTGTGAAATGTAACAAATATAATAAAACAAAACCTTGGCACAGTTGTAATACTGTTCATAGATGTGTAAACAAAATATACAGCTGATGAAAAGTAACAAATATAATAACAAACCTTGGCACATAAAATACTGTTTATAGACTTTTAAAAAAAATATGCAGCTGATGAAAAGTAACAAATAGTTTGTACCAGTTTGTAAAAATAACCAGCTTCATTTCTCATATCTTCATCAACAAAAACCACAATAAAGGCAAGAAATAACAATAGTATTTACAATTTAATGCATTTCAATTGTTAATATCAATAGTTATAGTAACCTTTTGTGAAACGTTACTGTTTGGATCAGTTTTCTATGTGCTAATATCATTCTCAATAAGAATTTCATTAATCTTTTATCAATTTTCAATGGTTTATGGAAGTTAACGTTGAATTCTATCCTGACTCACTAGCCACTTTGTGAAAAAAATTATCGAATTTGATAACTATATAAATATCAAAAAAGTTAACCAAGTATACTGAAATTCGGAAAAAAAATATGACAACAACGTCAATAAAATGACTTCATCTTTGCGATGCTTCCTGATAAAAAGTTTCTCGCATATTTCAACCTTTTATTGAAAGGAACCAAACATTAGTGGAGTTTTAGACATAAAGTAAACACATACATGTATACTGTATCAATGTAAGTATCATGATAAGTTCACTTCTGAATACCATATTTGTTATTTTCACTCATGGCTGCGCCACTTTGTGAACAACACTTTACGTATCCACTCTGTGAAATTAATTATAAATAAAATGTGATATTACACCGAAATTAACAATTATCCTATATATCACAGAACAGTAATTATTTATGGATATATTCCTTTAAAAAATGTGAAATAATACTGATTTAACAAGATCAAATTTGTTGTGAAGAAGTTCATTTTAAAAAAATTGTCAGTAACAATAGTTGTTTCAGTAATTTATCCAATACCGGTATTATCAAAGTTTCAACAAGAACAAAAATAAAGATTACAAGAAGCATCATTGTACAGTATTTCAACTTGATTTAAAATGTTAATACCATACCTATATATGTGTTCCCTGTTAGTGTTAAGTTTGGACAAGATGTTATAATTGTATTGATCAGTATCAAAAACATTCCCCAAGCATTTAATGTCTTGATTTAAATAGCAACAATGTTTAATGAAAAAAAATAACAACAGCATATAGACAACAGAAAAACAGCATATAATGTCAACAACAAACGTTACATAGCAGCAACATAAACTGACTAGAAGGCAAAGAATTTTTCATTTACAAGAAAGACATGCTATGCTGATGACCTCAAACATTAAAACTAGCAACAAAAAGTATAACAAGACACACAAATGAGCCACTTACTGTAGTTCTGACCCTTATCACATTTTAAAATACTTTGATATCTATTGACTTTCAATCATTGGAATAACTTATATGCCGACGAAGAAAAGGTTCGAAAATGTAAAATAAAAGTCATTCATTTTATGCTTTTGTGTGTGTATTACTGATGTATCCGTGAAAATTATATTTGATAATTTCACAGTGAAAATGATCCAAATTTCAAACTTTTCAATGACGAGACTACTTTTTTAAAGATTTTCCCCATGTGGTACCTTAATATCATTTTTGCTTACAATTCTGACATTCTCAGGACTGTTTCAAGACTAACCTATCCAAATAATATTCCTCTGAATAAAACAAAATTAATTTTCCTTAAAATACAAAACTTTTAAAAATGGCCACCACTTACATTTCACAAAGCCAGGTCATACATAAATTGCCTGAGTAACAGAAATAAGGTGGGATGGTGTGACTTTTTCTACTAGAATTGGTTGTTTTTATTATTAAAACAAGCGATTATTCATATATTTTTTAATAAAATAAATAAAATCATTGCTATTCAACGTTGATTGTCAAACTTTTTGTTAAGCCCAAGACTCCTGTATTTATGAATAATTGGACTTAAATTCAACTAAAATTGATGTTAACAGTGGGGAAAACAGATTTAATAATTATTAAAGTTAATATTGAGGAAATTTCATTAGCATAAAATAAAAAAGACACTTTATTGTTTGTTGTGTAAGATGTAATTTTATATCATTGAGGGACTTTTAAATAACAGTGTTCTCACTCGTGAGAATAATGTTTTTACAGCTCACTTGATGATATAAAATGTCATCTTACACACTAACAAACAAATATCCTCTATAGATTTGCATTTTTTTAAAATAAAAACATGTCTAGTCACTTCCTTCATTTGCTTCAGGTAAGGTCTCGGACACTTTGTTTCTTGCTTTCCTTCCCCCATCGCGCGTCCCACGCCCCAGCCAGCCACTTTGAAACCTTTATTTCAATATCCTTCCTCGTTGCAGTCTTTGTCGGCAAGTTCCTTTGGACACATCCTACAAAACAAGCATCCTTATCCTTAAAGAATGAAATAAAATGCAGTGAAATGTAGGTATTGAAACCATTCAAAGGTCATAAGTCACCTTGTAGCATTTTGAGCATAAAATTGGAATATAAACTAATTCTAGTATGTTTTAACAAATATAGATGTTTGTGTCCCGGTTTTACATAGCTTTTAACAATATTTCTGTGATATCGCTGCAGTCAGTTGTAAGCTGAGATCATCTTATCGGTGTATCAGTAAAGAATGTAAGGTAAGCAAATAACTTGCTTTTCAGGAAGGTGATTTCTGCTTATATTATGCATCACAACACAATGCATTGGATCAAAACCACACAGCATGTAAAAATATTCTCTCTTATTAATTTCCATAAAAGCTAATCAAGCATTTTCTTTCATTAAAGCGATACCTGAAGACACAATAACAAGATCTTGGATAATATATCTATTTTGAAGCCTATATACTTAAAGACACCACTTGGCAAATTCGTAATATACCACTTACTATACAATACATTCAGTATCTAGAGGCCCCCAAATGTTTTCTTCCCTTTCAGCCCCCTTCATATTGAACATTCTTGCCAGTTCATTTGACATGGTTTCTATCATCTAGCGGTCAACAGTTTCCCGCACAACTGCCCCACCAAACATTGAGAGGAACCGCACCTTAAATAAAGCAGAACATAAACTTTTTTTTAATGTTAATTTTAACACTACTAATTTTCAAAATTTGTGATGCGCTGCAAGTCACCAAATGACAAATAATTGTCAACTGGACCTCAAATACATGATCTGCCAAGAAAACTGTTTGAATTGACAAATTAAAAGACCTTTCCTCATATATTTACAGCCTAAGTGACTTGTTGCCTTTTTGTTTGTCCCCTCCACCGAGTGTAATGGGGCACATTATCATTGTTGTTTTTTAAACACGTATGAACAGAATAATTTTTGATATTATAATAACAGCGCAATTCCTGGATTTGTGTGGTACTAGTCATTTTCCTGGTATTTTGAAAGCTGCCAGCATTTTGATTAATGAATCGACTGTCTTGTCTTAATAATCAATGTTGAAAATGAGGCCAACTGCCCATGTCTTGTACTCATGGCTATTATAGCATATCTAAATAATAAGATAACTGTTTCAATATGAATCAAAAAAATTAAAACAAGCCAGTTTTTAATTCCGAAAGTAATGCAGTTAAGTGTTTGTCCACTGTGCAATATTTTCCTACATAAGTATAGCAGAATGATAATACATTATCATCAAGTGCTAACCACAGACCATTATGTTATTTTGCATTTAAGCCAGTGGATATGAGGTATACTTTTTTCAGTTACTAATGGTGCAAAATAATTACATGACTAACACTATGCTTACCACAGATGACAGCTTTGTCTGATCTCCAAGAAGCTCATCGAATGTTTCCATCTGCTAAGGAGAACGAAAAGGGAATGAGATATCTTCAGGAAGCTGCAGCGGTTGGTCATCTGCTGCTGACCTTGACAACAATTGCTACATCATCCTCTTAATTTCACGATTCTCCTCCCGCATTGTCTACAAGACTCAGAGAATCTGTGTAACAGCAGCTTCAAAAAGGATTCATAATTCTAGGCTTTAACACTTTTAGAGCTATGTGAATTACATATGAAAAAAATCCAGTATTTTAAATTTTTTCCTTGGCTTAACAGTTAATTAACGCTAAAATCTCAAAAGGATTGTTGAGTGTGCAAGGTCACAAAATGTGAAAATGATAAGAAATCATGAATTAAACTTAAAATATTTTGAGCTAGGCATGTCATGGGGTGAAAATAAACATTTTTGACTATTCCAAGGACAGTAACTTTGGATAACAGTTGTGGGGTCAGACAAGAATAGGCGAACATTAATTCACTTCATGATAAAGACTAACACAAGTAATCATCAATTTCTTTTGAATTTTTTTTTAACTAGGGGCGTCATAAGGTGAAACTTTCCATTTTTGGCTGTGTCGCTCAATCCAGCTTGTTAACAACATTTATTGGCTTGTTTTGAGGATAGAACATTTAATAAGTTATTGTACTGTAATGAATATATTTACAGCTCCGAAGTTTATACTTAATGGGCCCAATAATCTCCCACGGGAGGGCATATCAGAAGCACCTTGTATTAGAGAAGCACTTTGCACATCACTGCTGGCCTCTCGCAATGCCTGTCCAGATAAGCAAGGCGGAGGTGAAAGCAGGCTTCGTGCCTGTTTGGAGTTGTTGCTTTGTCAATAACTTGTGATGGCCTACTCTCGGTGTCTGTCTCATTCTCATCAGTGTCACTATCCGATTCATACAGCCTTTTTGATGGCCTATTGACAATAAAATGAAAATACATTAATAAGTAGTTAAAAAATACATATACATTAAGCGAGTTATTGCACCAAGTGACAATATGATTATGACCTGTGCACGGCTGACAAACATGTATTAGTCTATGTTTACGTACCGAATTGTTGTGCCGCAATTTTTTCTACCAAGGATTTTTAGCACGAATGCGCTCGTTTCCTGATGGGATTATTTAATGAACAGGAAGGGCTAGAGACTTGGAGTTGGTCTCATTTGGAAGCTTAATACAAATGTGAAATAATGATAAAAGATTTTTAATTGTCTGGACAATTGTTTTCACAACGGCCTGGGTAGTGAATCCCTTGCTCGTAGGCTCGAATCTAGAGTTTCCAGCCTTCTCTTAACTTATAGTATGTTTTTAAAGGGGGTCATAATTTACATTTTTTTTGGTTTACGAATTTTTTAAGATGAACACAGGTTTAATTATCTATCAGGTCATATTTTTTCTTTCTCAGGTCCGATACTCATGCCTGTGCAACAGCTAGAGGGCTTGGTTGGTACTTGGAAAAAATACTTGAATTTGTAAAAATAAGTATTTGTATTTAATATTTATAAATGCTTATGAATGAAATGTTGGTACAAAATGGAAGGGACTTCTAAGGCTAGGGGGGGACACTGGATTTCAAATGATGGTGTCCCTTTAAAAAGAGATCTCTTAAAATTTAGTCTAGATAGAAACAATATTTTTAAAATGTTAGTGTAGACTCCGTCACAGTTAAGAAATTCAACAATAACAACTATACACATGCATAGGTCACCTAAAGTGCCTAAGAGTCAGGGCGTAAAATTCTAGAAAATGTCGCAAATTAAACGACTATTGGGAAATAACATGACAAAGGCAAAACCAAAAAACTAAACAGCGTTTACAGCTTACCTACACACACAATAAACATGTAAGGATATAATATGAAAAGTCGTTATACGAAATCGTGGTTAAATGCTTGGAATCGAAAAGAAATATTTTTTTCGTGTACAATTTTACAATTTAACATTTCAATACACAATTTGATTTTAAGCGGCAGCGGAAAGCACGTCTGCACATGCTCGAAATAAATTTTTTCATCAAAAACTGATTTTTATAAATTATTTCTGAATTTATAGTCTAAAAACACATTTTTATATTTAAATAATAAAAATTAAAACCAATATAAAAACTTAACAAATTAATTTCTCGCACCTGCTCAGGGCATGCTTATATTTATCGGGTTGCCCAAATGGGACCCTTATGGGTCCCTCATGGCTTGTATAAATGTTTAAAATAATGCTACAATTTTATATAGGATAATAGCAATTTATGCCAAGGTGGTCACACTATAGCTCAAAGTAAACGAGTTCTAAAGAAATAAATAAAAGAAAAATTGTTTTTCCTTAAAGTGCTGGAATATGGTACCCATATGGGTCTAATCAAACTCCTCACAGCGGTTATGTCACGCTTTGCTACTTTAACCACTGCCACCACTGAAATCACGTGATGATAGTTGTATCATGTGACAAAAACATGGCGGCCAGTTTCAGAACGCCAGGGATCCCATATCAAACTGGCAGATTTATAATTACACCCTTACCAGACAAAATATGTTCAAGAAACACAATTTGTTATCACTTTAAAACCAAGTGCCGGATCAAATTTTTTGTGCAATCGTTCAATAACTGTTTATATTCTACCATTGTTTACTATGCATACGGTGTCACAGTGAAAATATCTTTCGTTATGTTTACAAAATAATTTTTATACGTATATTTTTTACTTTCTTGTACATTAAGCATAACTATTTAACGAAAGAAATCTAAAATGATATAAAGTATTCTATTTTAAAATTAAAAGTGAAAAAAATATATCCGGCTATATTCGACCGAATTTACTTGTGGTGGCAGTGGTTACTGTACAGATCAGGGGAAGTAACCGCTGCGAGGAGTTTGGGGTCTAATATATAGGCGTACCCAAATGGACTTGCCAATATTGGATCCATATAGGTCCAATATGGGTATACCCATTAGCTTGCCTAGATATAGCCCATATGGGTCCCATATATGCATGTTTGCTGGGTATGTATTATTCAGTACAGTACCTCCAAAATCTGCATATTCTGCACATATGTCAATAAGTATACACATTGTGACAATAAGAAATATTTAAGGTTAAATGTGGTAAATACTCTGTGATTACTTCTCACATTTACTTGATATTAATAACCAATACTCGTTACATTAAAAAGCATACTAGTGACACCGGCGAGCAACTCCAAAGCAATACTCGGTAAACTGACATGTTTATTTATTCTCAAAATGCACTGTCATCTGAAATTTTATTGTTGTCAGATTGAACGTTTACCTTGAATTTACCTTTGTTCATAGTCTTGAAATGGGATGAAAGTCCTCGTAATATCGAGCAATATCCGGCGGTAAAGGCTCCCACGTTTACAATTTTTACATGATTGCTAAGAACCGAATCGATACTGTTTAAACGGTGGTACTTCTATGCACTATACTATACCATGTAATTTGCCAAATGATGACTTACTTTCTATAATAAATAATGTTCAGTGCTCATCACGATTTAGGCGGCACACATTTTCTGCATTGTATCCTCATTTCGTTATTTAAAAGATCAAAGAAAAATCAACTTCAACAAAAATGAATTAGGTCACAAGCGATTATTGCACGGTGATGGTGTGTGGTCCGGGTTGTTAACACCCATTTTCCATTTTTTACTTTGATAAACCAATAAGTATAGATAAAATCCATGATTACAGGAAATTATTAAGATAATTTGTAAGACAATATGGTCATCTCGAATAAACGGTAAAAAATATCATAACCGTTTATAAATGAAAATCGAAACGAATCCATTTAAAAGTGTAACCATGGGGGCCTTACCGGCGTACGGTATTCCTCAGTGGAACTAGTTCTGTTGCTCTATGTTGAATTATCTTTGTTTTATGTGTTCATACCTTTCATTGTTTTACGTTTTCATGTCATAATTTATATACCTTTTCTAATTGAAATTGTTATTGATGAAAGTGTGTGAGGGAAGAATTTACAGTTCATAAATGTTTAAGCTACTGGTTGGGGACCACCAAAACCGGACAACCACCAAACCCGACGACCTTGACAATGCTTAATTTAGTATTTTCTTTGTTCAGTGGTTGTCACTTTTTTATCAACAATAAATGCATGTTTCTTCTAAAAATAAATAAACAAATTTATTTCAACCACCATAAATGGTAATATAATTTTAATGGCTATTTAAAGAATGTTGACGTTGAAATTTGGGGGGTCAAGAAAACAATGCCTGACCTCATATACCATCTATAATCATTTGCAGAGTAAACAATAGAATTTCCAAAACTTCAGCATTTGTTTCTGAATCATTGTCTATCATGTTAAAAATTAAAACACCCAAGCTGTTATCTGAATTAAATAACGTCATGTACATAAATGTCCGGACACATGGTGCTGTAGTGTAGACAATTGAGGTAATTTTGATACTTCCTTGTCGAGCCTCAGATATTTGATACTTCTTTGTCGAGCCTCAGATATAAGTGTCAATACAATCAGACAAACAAGTTTGTTAGTTAGGGGAAGAACCTAGCTGAACCTTGTCAATTTTTTTGGTCTCTAGGTTAAAACTTATGAAACCTGTACAGAAAAGTGTTCAAAAAGTGTCCGCGGTTGATGGTCCCTGACCCTGTTGTATTAATCACAACATCTCATCTTAACAAAGATAATAAAACATACAGATCTTTTCAATTATTTTTAGTATATGTGATCTACCGCTGGATGTTCATCAACTAAACAATCTAAAGTGATTTCTTTTTTGTTGCAGACCGAGTTGGTTTAGGGCCGAGTGGACACTTATCTTATACCTCTTCGTACACATTGATAAAATAAGATAAGTTTTGTTTCAAGTCGGCAAGTTTTCAACAGTACAACATAAGCTCTAGGAGCTTTTATAACCGACTACATATATAACATAAAGTATAAGATCAACAAAGATAAAACAGCTACAATAAAAAAATGATTTGACATGATATATATACATCACATACATAAAATAGACCTTTTTAGATATTTTTATAAAAATGAATCAGATGGTAAAAAACTAAATAATAGTGTTCCCATTCACGCACACATGTGAATTCCGTATAATTTACAAAAATCACGCATGAAATTACAACTAGGTGCGTGCATGCACGTATGAAAATTGAAGTAAAACTGCCAAAAAATTATCCGCAAATTCAGACAAATCAATAATCTACTCACAAATCTCTGAAATTGTTTACAAGACCGTAATTTAATCCGAGGTCATAACTTGGGTTTCCCCAATCGTAACAACTCGGCAATCTCCGTCAAGTGGTTTATATATTAACGACGGCTTCGCACGCTTTGCTCATTCTGGGACAATTTATTTTGTTTATTAGTCAAAATCGCTGTATGAGTATCCGATACTTACAATTTCTTCAAAACAGCCTGATATTTGTGTGAAATTACGAAGTCGAAACTGCATTTCAATCTGCTTGAATAAAAATGGCGTCGTTGAAGAGCCAATCACGTGATTCACTCGCGCATTTATATATATATGTATATGTGTTGATAAATATTGTTTCATATAAAATTGCTTTATATGTTTGTATATATGATCAATATTTGAAGTATTTTTTCTGTTCATTAGCCAAAGGCAAGTTTTTGTCGATATTTGCTAATAAAAGTTGTTGTTGTTGTTGTTGTTATATAATTTCTGCGTACAGTACAAATTTAAACTAAATTGTAATTTTAACTTTCAATACTTTAATACAATTATAAATGTATGACAACCCCTTCTATATTCAATGCATGAATGGATTTTCTAACTTGTAACCGAACATACGGAACTATTTTTTTTTGTCAACGAAATTCGGTTTGCAATAAGAAATAGTCCGGTAGATGGGTGGTTATACCTTTGTGTCGATTTACAATCGACACAAAAACTACTACTTTACATTTAGAAGAATTGTAGAAATAACGTTCCTTTGTTAAATTTTCATGACACAGATTTAATAGTTTATCTAGACCACTTTTAACATTTGAAAGTATCACCATGTCGTCTGCGGACGTCGGACAACTGCAGATAATATTATTTAGTTTAAAGCTGTAGTTACAAGCGTCTAATTGATTCATTAAGTCATTAATGAAAACTAAATAAAGATGGGGACTGCTACATTGGCCTTGACGAGTGCCCTGTTGTATTTTGAACCACTGTGATGTAATGCCGTTAGTTTTTACGCAGCTGAAACAATCTTCGAAAAATGTTCGGATAGTTTTGTAAAGTGTTATGTCTATTCCAGTTTTGTATAATTTTATTAGTAGAAGCGTTGTCCACGTATGATCATATGCCTGTTTTGCATCCAAGAAACATGTATACAATTTTGAATTATTTTCAGCGGCATAGTGTACACTTTCTCTTAAAGTGAATGCAGTCATTAAACA